GCATTGCAAAAACCCATAGCAGCCAATCCCCATTGACTGGTAAAAGATACTAGCTAAATAAACTCACACTCAAAAACCCTGAATTGAAAGAAAACCCTAGCTAGTATGGAATGCAACTCCAGCTCCTTCCCATTATATACCTCCTGAAAATAGCTGATCAAGCAATATAACACATATTTCTAAGATGAATTATCACAAAAGAACCAGTACAAATCCCAATAAAAGATATAAGAAAAAGAAAGTAAGTTACAGGAAAAATACTTAATAAAAACTATCATAAAATATTTCCAATAAGTGAATGAAAATTATAGCTAAACTTGTGCTTTAAGTTTTTAAAAAAGAAGTGAATGAAGTAATTGCCTCTGTGAAACACAGCACAACACCAAAATAAAAGTGTTCAAGGTAAAAGATCATTATATGAAAGGAAATGACATATGCAAACTAAAAGAATTCACAAAAGACCTAGGAAAACAAAATCATCATAGAAATGCAGTTGAAATTGAAGAAACACTATAAATATTTCTAGAAAGGAACATAGAGGATTCTGTGTGTGTGTGTGTGTGTGTGTGTGTGTGTGTGTGTGTGAGAGAGTGAGTGTGTGGTGCTGGGGATTGAACCCAGGGCCTTGTACAGGCGAGGTAAGCACTCTACCAACTGAGCTGTATCCCCAGCCCCCAGAGGATTTTTAAAAAACAGGAAAAGTAAAATAAAAATAAAGAGTAAGCAGACTAGAGAGAAAAGATTAACAAATAGATAACAACTTATGAATAATCTGAACTCAAAACACCAACATAATAACTGAACAGAAAAATATTTAAAGTTATAATTCTACAAATATTTACTAAAAGTTTTCTAAAAATCTGCATCCAAATATTGACAGGGTATACCCTGTCTTAGAGAAAACTAATATAGTACAGACATGGAAAACTATTGACACAAAAAAGAAAAGAAAATTGGGCTAGCCTCAGATTTCAACTCTAAGAATGGATCACCAGGAAGGGAGGGGAGATAGGATTAGGAAAGACAGTAGAATGAATCAGACATACTTTCCTATGTTCATATATGAATACATGACCACATCAAGTACAACCACAAGAATGGGATCCTAATTAGGATAAGTTATATGCCAGTTATATATGTCAAAATACACCGTACTGTCATGTATATCTAAAAAGAACAAAGAACAAATTTTTTTAAAAAGTTTTAAAAAGAGTTCTTTTTTAGTTATTTTCTTTTTATATAAACTGTTACATGTAACTTTAATGTTTATGTGGACAGTATATCAAAATAAGAATGCATTCAAAAATAATTCATATAAGCTTTTCCTTCTCAATGCATTAATATTCTCATCTTCTAGAAAAACAAAATATTATTTAAATGTAATTGTATAAAAAAAGTTCTTARGAAAGGGCTGGAATGTAGCTCAGTGGTAGAGAGATTACTGCTTAACATATGTAAAATCTAGGTTTGATCTCCCATAACCACATACACACATAGAAAGTTCTTAAAGTATGAATCAAGGATTTTGTGCCTAAACAAACTGTTGTTCAAGTATGAAATAATTATTTCAATTTTGACCAGAACCTAGGCAATACTATTTACATAAATCCTTTTGGAAGGCTCTGTTTAAGGATGAATTTAGTTAATCAAGTAAAGCTGGAAAAACCACAGCAAAATAACTGGTGATACATTTCTAAGCTATTTAACTATATAACTAAAAATAAAATAAAATTATTTAATATAAGAACACAAAGGAAAATGCTATTTCAACTGGCAATGCAAATATGAGACAGATGACAAAAGTTGGAAAAGAAAAGGAGAAAAAAAAGAGTTACATAAGAAAATAAGGACAGGGCTGGATTTGTGGCTCAGTAGTACAGCACTTGCCTGGCATGTGTGAGGCTCTGGGTTCAATTCTCAGCACCACATATAAATAAATAAATAAAATAAAGATCTATTGACAATTAAAATTTTAAAAAAAGAAAGAAAATAAGAACACTGATCTTCTGATCTTTAAATGCTGGAGGTTTTAATCTATCAAATATGACAATAAATTGACAGACTGTATAACTAAATTTTACTGCATGAAAGCAAAACAAGAATAATAAATATCCTAGATTCATAACTGCTTATACAAAGGAATTAAAAGATACTGTCTTAAAACACAAAAGAGTTTGAGATAATAAAAAGTTACATCAAGAAACGTAAGACTATATAAACAGAGATAAATACCTGAACATAAAATCAGTACTTTTATTTATTCAATTTATTTATTTATTTATTTATTTTTGTGATGCTAGGGGATTGAACCCAGGGCCTTGTGCATGTAAAGCAAGCACTCTACCAACGGAGCTATATATATCCTCATCCAGTAATTCTTAAGTATAACTTTTAGTGAATTCCATACTTTTGACCTGGGAAAACTCAAACCCATATTTTTAAGAAACTAACATGTCCTCAAGTAAAAATGCTTAAATTCCTAGGAAAGATGATTAATCTTTCAATTGAAAAAAATCAAAAATAACTCCAAGAATAAAGATCAATATAAAATATATTAAGATAGATGCATATTAAATTTCAAAATTCTTGGCTTCTCTACAAATAGCCTTAGGCAAGATCACTTATCCATAAAGATACTAGTGAAAAGTGAAACAAATGGTGATTTGTTCCAATTTTGGAATACAGCTACAGAATCAAAGTTAAAAGATATGCCATGAAAGCTAAAATATAACACATTTCACAGTTAAATACTGAAATAGGCAATCTTACATAACACCGTATAAAAACACTTTACTTTCATTAAATATTACTGCTTATGTTTAACACTAACTGTTACACAGAATAATCAGAGACTCAGAACAAAAAAATGAAAAATAATCAAAAGTAAAAAGTACATGCTGTGCAGTTCCCATAGAAATCATTCTCTAAAGGCACATTGGATTGGATTTGAATCTACAACTTATCCAAGTTTGTTTGTTTGTTTGTTTGTTTTTATCTCTAACAAAATAAGAACTTACTACCCAACTAGCTGGGTTTTCACTTTATTTATAAATAAAGATGTTGCCAGGTACAGTGCACATCCCTGTAATCACAGTAGCTCAGAAGGCTGAGGCAGGAAGATCATGAGTTCAAAGCAAGCCTCAGCAAAAGCAAGGCACTAAGCAACTCAGAGACACCCTGTCTCTAAATAAAATAGAAAAAAAAATAGGGCTGGGGATGTGGCTCAGTGGTCAAGTGCCCCTGAGTTCAATCCCTGGACCGCCCCCCCAAAAAAATATGAATGGATAGATAGATAGACAGACAGACAGACAGACAGACATAGAGGTGTTTTTATTTTGGAAGCAGTTTTATAAACTATCCTTAGAATACTTACTATGTACATATGTATGGAGCAAAAGGAAGGGACAGAAAGCAGAAAGAAAAGGCAAGGTAAAGAAAAGAAAAAAGGGAACTGACTCCCTTACTAAAACAAACTCCTAACTGTGTGTTAGGTAACAAAATTCCAGAAGGACAATTTTCATATGGAAAAATGAGAAGTTTCCTGAATTTCCCCTTTCTTGTGGGCTTTTCTCATTTTGATTCCTCCTGCTATCAAAGAGAAGAGTTCCTTCCAAAACTCAGTTTTATTTATATGCTGGTGAGTTCTATACAGGGAAGATATTCCCATTAGAAACAGTGGAAAAGTAAAGTTTCGGTCTACATTTAGACTTGAGTTCAATGGTAACCATACCTAAGAATGAGACACCATACGATAGAATATTATTCAGCAATAAAAAGGAATGGAATACTAGTATATGTAACAATGTAGATGAATCTCAAAAGCATTATGCTAGGTCAAAGATGCCAGTCTCAAAGGTTACACAGTATGTTATTTCATATACATATTTGATATTCTGCAAAAAGCGAACTAAAGGGCTGTGGCTCTGTGGTAGAGCGCTTGCCTAGCATGTGTAAGGTACTAGGTTTGACTCTAAGCACCATATATAAATAAATAAAAATAAAGGCCAATTGACAACTAAAAAATATTTTTAAAAAATAAAACTATAGGAATGAGAACAGAAGAGTGGGTACTGAGGTGGGGCAGGTTGATTAAAAACAGCAAGATGGAATCTTGGGGTACTAGAAAGGTTTTATATCTTACTTGTTATCATTATAGAATTTTATTCATACATAAGAATCATAGAACGCTATACTAAAGAGAGTGAATTTTACCATACATAAAATTTTTAAATAAATATTTTTAAGTTCCTAAGAAAAAAAAAGATACTTCCAGAGCCATTTAATTTTATTCTCAGGCCAGTAACAAAGCTTAGGTGGGTACTATTATAAGTGAGAAAACTGAAGCATAAGGTAAATAAGTGAACATACAAACTATATGTGCCAGGACCAAAACTATAGTCTTAGATACACTGATTCTATCCCAAATGTTGTATTCTCTTAATTTTCTCAGTTCCACTCAACTTTCTGAGACAAATGTCCCTGAAGATAAATAAGATCAAAGGAAGGCGGGAGAGAAAAAAACAGTGATTAGAAGTGTATCACTTATATTCAGGTCATCATACTTAAGGAATTAAAGTACTCCACAATTGAAGAAGTCTGCATAGTAATCAACATAAGCAACAAATGAGCTGTCATTAAGGGATTAGCTGGTGATTTCTTCCATAAAAGCTTAAATTCATAATGCTCAGAAAAAGAAAATGCAACATAAAACATTCACAGGTAACCTTGTAACTATTGCTACAATTTCAGTACTACCTCGTTTCAGAACTATACTGAGAACAATGATGGTGACCACAATTCAGAACAGATTTTACAACTTTAAATAAACATAAAGTCCCAGACACCATCACCCAGAGTAGAAAATAAGAGGGAACCAATCAAAATACTTCAGTTTCAGAATCATATAAGTGGTGATATAATAAAAGAAGCATACTATAAATTTAAACTAGTTTCTCTAAAAAATAATAAATCACATCTAGACCCTAAATAGCATACATCACCTAAAAACAATGGTGTGGTTTCTTCTAAAGTAGTTGCATTTGGATCTGCCCCAGCTTCTAAAAGAATCTGTGCGATCTTCCAATGTCCTTGACTTGCAGCAAGATGTAACGCACAGAAGCCCTCAAAAGTCTTTGTCTTAATGTAGTTTTCAGAAGAATCTATGGAAGAACAAAATCTCATCAATCAGAAGATTATTACTTACTATTTTGCTTGAAAAGCAAAGATTATCAGAGGAGAGGTGGAGTTGTAGCTTAGTGGTGGAGCGTTGCCTCACACATGAGTCACTGGGTTCAATCCTGAGCATCACAAAAAAAATAAAATAAAGGTATTGTGTCCATCTACAACAAAAATTTTAAAACAATAACAACAATAACAAAAAAAGATTATGAGAGGAATTTAATGAAATATTAAAAGTTAACTTATAAATTATAGGTCTGGGGCTGGGGCTGGGGCTGGGACTTAGCGGTAGCACACTTGCCTGACATGTATGAGGCGCTGGGTTCATGCCTCACATATAAATAAATAAAGGTCTATCAACAACTAAAAAAAAAAGAAATTTTAATTATAGTCTCATAGTTTAAAACTCTGGTAAACCAAGGAGAAGTTCTACAGGGATTCTATTGTCAACAGTTCTTTGATTTTCTTACCACACAAATTCTGCCCATTCATTTTAATTTTCTCTTCTCTAATTTTTGGTAGGAAGCAGGAGGGAAGGGGCAGGAAATCAAAGGTCACACAACGTCAAGATCTGAGGAGGATGCAGCACCAAATATTTGCTTAAGCAAGATTTACTGAAACATTAATAAGTTTGGTTCAATTTCTAAATTTATTTCTAAATCCAGGAGGAAAATGGTCTCACCTCTAGCATTGTACTTAACTAACACTATAAAGGCAATTTTAAATATACCCTTTCTAACTTAAGGAAGCCTTAGTTAGTGAAAATTGCCTTTCCGAAAGAATAAAATACACCCTAAACAAACCAATTACATATGTTTAAGAGAAACTTTTGAGTTAATTTAAGGAGTGCATTTGTAATGAAAAACTAAAAGTTCAAGTAACATTCAAATTATATAGATAATATCTACATTAAAAATTTTTAAATACAGCAAAAGATAATACTGAGAGGTGACTTACTTACCAAAACAATAAAATTCTAAGCCCATATCAGAAGAATGGACTCTATGGTGGAGGCTGAATGGTGAAGGCATTTCTGAGAGTGGTAATAAAGCAAACAAAAAAACTTCTAAAATATTTTCCTGAAATACCAGAATAGAAACTAATGATCCTAAAGCAGTCATCTATTTTAAGCATTTCTTGTAATTATAACTCACTGATAAAATAGGCAGACCAAGCTATAAAGTTCAAAAGCAAGCTATAAGTATTTAAAGAAAACAATCTCAGACTTTACAGAATACTAAATGGCAACAGAATAGTCATATTTTAAAGTGCCTTATCACAGAAAAAGTGTTTCAGAGATTAGTCAGAAATTGGTATTTATTAAGATGAGTTTATTTAGATCAATTAGAGATTAGTACTTAATGTATTACATGTGGAATACAATTAAGATTTTTTGTCACAAAACCTTATAGTTTTGTGAATACAAATGATATGAACAACTAGGAACACATAGATATGTATATAAATAATTGATATACATTGAGTTCTTAAGAACTTCAATATTATGAAGACACCAATTCTTCCCAAAATAATTCATACATTTAATATAATCATAATTAAAATGCCAGTAGAACTATTTGTTGGTTTTGAACTGTTTGTTGGTTTTATACTTGGTAAAATGATTCCAGATGTTTGAGTGTGGAGTAGGACAGGTAATAATAACAAAGAATTTAGAAAAATAAACAAGACAAGCATTGTAGGGTAGCCTGGATTTATGCATTAAATCATGTCTTCAAGTTAAAAACAGTAAAATAATGTGGTACTGCTACAATGCAGACAGGAGTAGAGGACAAATAAATAGAAGAGGGTTTTGAGAAGTAGCTCAGTAGTAGAGTGTCTGCCTAGTAGGCAAGAGGCCCAGGATTCAATCCCCAACATGACAATTAATTAAAAAAAAAAAAATAGAAGAAAAGAAGACTAAAAAGGATGACCAATTGGAAAGTTAAACCTGTAAACCAACTTTAAAGGAGTCCCTGTTAGAGAAAGAAGGATACAAATTCTCTTCCATTAGGGGAAAAAGAGAATTTAATCTCAACCATTTAAGTACTATGCTTTAAGACAAAAGAGTATACTAATTTACAGCAGGCAGAATTTTTTTTTTTTTWAATCAATCTGGAGGTAGGTGGAAGGGGAAATCCTAGGGAGACAGTCTGGGACAAAAGGGTATATAGGCTCTAGGACTTTAATCCAAACTTGTTACCCACTGAAATCTTCCCCTGCCTCTGTCCACTCTTTCAACAGTTTATGTAACATACCTTTCCCCACCCTCATATTCTAATCAAATTGACCACAGAGACCAGAACACCTCCAAAGATATTTCCCCACCTTACCTCAACAACTCAATAAAAGGCAAGACATACCCAACCCTTGGTTTTTGGGACTAAACCCAGGAACTATATCCATGTTACCACTGAACAATATCCCCAGTCCTTTTTATCTTTTATTTTGAGGCAGAGCCTTACTAACAAGTTGCTTAGGTTCTTGCTAAGCTGCCAAGGCAGATCTTGAACTTGGGGTCCTCCTGCCTCAGACTCCTGAACTGCTGGAGTTACAGATGTGCAGTACCATGAACCACTTACCCACTTTTATTTGGGGCCCCGCCTGATTTTCATCTATCAGAGCTGTTCCCTTTCTCCTCAATGTGAAGCCCCTCCCCCAACATACTGCCTTTGTATTCATGTTCTTTGGCCAGATTTCATTTCTATTGTCATTGGGTCAAGAATTCCCAACCCTAGTATCACTAAGATAGAATGCAGATTGTAACATAAAAATTTAATTGTATTCTGAGGAGGTAGAAAAAAGATGCTGGCCCACATAATTTTGAGAAATAATGTTATGACTAAAAACTGTAAGACTAAAGACAAAAGGAGCTATACATAAACACTATACTCTCTCTATTTGATAAAGATGTTTCCTGTAGATGTAGAGATTTAGCAATTCTGAAACTACTATGTACGTGCATACTAAAATGGAATAAATAAATAAATAAATGGCTTATGAATCTGAAGCCCAGCTTCTTAAGCAAAGGCTAAAATGAACCTAGAATGTCATACTAGGGTCTAGACATCAGGATTAACCCATTTAACAATATAAGTATAGATGGCTAGATACAATTATGTACAGTTATACAATCATAGTTATATATGTACAATTATATGTTTAACTACATATATATGTACATACATAAATATCCATAAATATATTTTCTAACTCTGTCTACTGAAAGGGTTTCAAAATGAGTGACACTCCACTAAGAGTGAAAACATCCAGTCCACAGATCTTGGTTTTGAATATCATTCAACAACAACAACAAAAAAAAAAAAAAAAAAAAACAGGTCTCTTAGAATGCTTGATTCTTGGGCTAGGGCAAGGAATATATAAAATGAGCCAGTGCATACTGTAGGTTCAGAAAATTAAAAAGTGCTCAAAAAAAAAAAAAAACAAAAATCAAACCATGTCAAAGGGACATGGGATTCAATCTGATAGGGCATCTAATGGCTGAAACAATTTGAGAAACAAATAACATTTTATTGATGGACGGACAGATGGATGGAAGGAAGAAAGAAGGAGATGAGCTAAATCTCCCAAACAGAAGATTCCAAATAATTTATATAGAGGTTCCACCATCAAGGAAATAGAGCTTAATCCCCACTTCTTCCCTCCACCACACTGCACACCCAGTGTTGAAGATTAAACAGGGCCTCAATACATCTAGACCAACACTCTTGACACTGAACTACAACCCCAACTCCTAATTCCCATCTCTTCAGTGCAGGCCACCCTTAGTGACATATATACATACATACCTACGCTATGAAAGAGAAACGAAACCTCTGATACAATTATCTGTGAAGTAAAGAATAGGCATTTCTCACTCAAGATGAGAAATACTGAAATTAATTTACTACTAACCTGAGACCTTGAAAATTTTTACCTATAGAAAAACAAATATACTCAGCTAACTTTAAAACACTGGACCAGAAAGGTAACATCTTAAGAGTTACAAGATTTAGGCTACAATTCTGGCTCTGCCAGTTATAACCTATACTACACTTTCGGTAAATTACTTGAACTATCTAGAGCTCAGATTCCATAACAGTAAAACAAAACCTTCAGTGGGGCTCAATAGAATTATATATTTAGTTTCCTGAGTTTTTGTGAGACACTAATAAATAAATATTATAATCATTACAATATTATGGATTGTAAGAGTTATTGTCAATTTGACAAAGTCTCCAAAATATTTTAAGAAAGTCTTCAGAACCCAATCTAAATTGGGTATGGAAGTTCCAATGATAAAACTGCTTCCCTTAATTAATGTGTGAATTTTACCAAAGGCATCTTACCCAACTTGTACTAGACCATCATCAACTACTCTCTCAATTTCATCCTTGCCTGACAAGAGAACTTCTTGAAAGAAATGGCTCATTATACTTTTTTCAGTTGTTGATGGACCTTTGTTTTATTTATTTATATGTGGTGATAAAAATTGAACCCAGTGCCTCACACATGCTAGGCAAGCACTCTACCACTTAGCCACAACCCCAGCCCTCATCAAACTTCCTAATACTTTAACCTCTACTTATTCTCACTGGAAGACAAAGTGGTTTCTATTTCTCATCTACTTACTGAAACTTTAAATGGTAGGAGAATTAAAGACTCTCCTGATAGCAAACATGATGAGCATATCTTTCTTGCTTACACTTTGAGGGTTGGGTCCATCTAAGCTGGACCAATGCCAACCATCTGTGTAGCAATGACAAGACTAGGCTGTAACACTCTGCCAATGATACCAATTAGTGGGTGTATTTGTGAGGATGTTTTGAAAAGAGATTAACATTTGAATCAGTAGACTAAGTGCAGAATTAGGCAAGAATCATGCAATCTGTTGTGGGCCCAATAGGACTAAAAGGCAGAGGGAAAATTTCCTCTCTTCTTAACCTCCCTATCTTAAGTAACCATCTTCTGCCCTTGGACATCA